AGATTGCCTATGATAATTCGGTTGTCGTTTGGAATAGGCGCAGAAACCAAAAGAGTTTTTAATATATTTTAGACATATTTTGTAGTACTAAAGGTCATTTACAATTACTTATGTATCTCACTTTATAGTGTCGCAAAAGTTTATCTCGTTTATTTATAGTACTGTGTTAAGAAAACTTCGTCGTGGATTCCAAAACAAGCGGTACGTGGTATTGTTTATTATGATTTTGTTAATTCTTCCGGCATATTTATTTGTCTCATAAGTCATAACAAATAAAACATAAATCATTATTTGAAACTTTATAAATTTGTTATTAAAACGTTAGAGAAACAATTACAAAATGCTACATGCCATTCCGAGTTGTAGAAAATTTGAATATTATAATATTCCCAAAACGGAATTTTTTTTCTTGCATCTGTCATGAAAACGCTATTTTTACATTTGACTGCTTACTTTTTATATTTTAATAGAGTAATTTTTAATGATATCGAAATTTAAATTAGGAGATTTACCTTAGCCATATTGCTTGTTGAGTAAGAAAGATGGACAATTGTTTTGCTTACTTATTTTTCGGGCATAGACTTATATTACTGCATTAGTTATATAATGCAATGCAGTGAAGTGAAGATAAATTGATGTCCTTATATTTCAGTCAATTTTGCAACCTTTTATCTTTACACCAAAATATTATTTTAAGTGTTTTATGGTAAGTGTATTTAAAAAAAAAAATTTATTACTTCTTTGTTTGGTGGTCATCTAATCGGTGGTATATTAGCCACATAGTGAATACTATTATATAAATGTAGCTAACATTAATAATGATAATCATTCTTCTGTATTTTTACAAAGGAACTCTGCTGCCATTTTGTAACAGCTTACAACAAAAAATCTTAACTTACACAAAGACCATACATTAAGCTGGGGAGTTCATGATTTTTTATAGGATAAAGGTGATAAACGAGCACACTATCCACCTGATGGTAGATATTAGAGATGTTACGGAGGTTCGATTCCGATTCCGAAAGGTCGGAACTTACGATTGATTTTGCACTTCCGATTCCGATTTCGGTTCCGATAAATTTTAATCGGAAGTTATATATCGGAGGTCGAAGCACAGTGGTGGCAGTGGCTGCAATCAGCGTGTACAAACAATTTTATATTTGTCGCCCCTGGAACCTCCCACCCCCGTGCTTTCGGTCGGTTACTCTTTAACCTGATGTTTTTTTTGGCAATTGGCATATTGTGCGTTCGCGCTTCATTTATACCTATGCGATTTTTTGATATTTGAATCGGACAATGAAGCCAAAATCAAGTACCATTTGGAATTATTTCAATGAAGTTTCAGATAATATGTGTTATCTATATGAGAAGATATACCACGAAATAACGAACGAACGAAAGGGTGGTACGATTACTTTGTTAAAAAGTCATTTAAATTCTGTGCATACCACTGAATGCGAAGAATTCAAAAAAATTAAAACTGAAAAGAATAATACAGTGCAATAGGCCTGCCACATTTCTTATGCCTCCACTTCCAATTCCGGTTCCGACAAACAAAATTTAAAAACTCCGCTTCCGAATTCGGTTCCAATATAACCACTTCCGTAACATCCCTAGTAGATATACTGCTACCTTATGTTCTCTTGTAGTCTAAAAACTTTTCTGCCTTTTAAACTAAGCTTCTCTGGATATTGATTACCCAGATTTATTTCAATGTCTTTTAAATAAGTTGGAGCGCCATCTCAACAATTGCATTAAATTGATTTTTGGCTTATGTAATTACAACCATATTTCCCAGTACCATTCTAAGCTTAAATGGCTTTCTATTCATTGCACCCTGTGTTATTTTGTTTTTGGACTGTATTATTTTATTTCTTTAAACATTTTGTAAGTACCTTTTTTATATATTTACTACTTATTCTTCATTATATAGTGGATATTAAGTATGTATATTTTACTAACTTTATTCTATTTATTTGCATTTTATTGTACCTTATTATCTTTATTTCTTATTTATTAATTTTATTAAATGAATTGTTTACACCTGCCACAGCTAATCAAACCGTCCAGGTCCGGGACCAGTCAGTGGTAGAGAATGCCATAAGGCATTAAGCTTGCTCTTTGTAGCCCTAACTATTAGGTGTATGATGAAGATTAAATAATTAAAATATATAAATATCTCTATACATATTTCATAACTAAAAACATATTTTGTGATTTATTTTATTTATTTGATTGTGAAAGTTTTAATGAAATAGTGTTTGAAATGTAATCATACTTTATTATGATAAAGTAGAATGTACCACATTTTTTTTCAAGTATCAACATCATCTACACACATTCCCTGCTAATGAACAAATATTTGATGTTTAGCCAATGGCAGCAAATCCATCTAAATATCTTCATCATCATTGTAGACCCTCACAAGCCTGCAAACTGCTGAAAATAGACATCCCCCAAGAAATCCCACAAAACACAATCCTGAGCAACCTGAATCCATCAAATTCCTACATGTCGTACCAGGTTGTCACTCCATTTAGTGGGGGCCACTTTAGGGAAGCTGCCACTCTAGAACCTTTTATAAAACTTTAGTGACATTAACTTTCAGTCCACCTGATGGTAAGTGACTCCTGTAGTCTATGGACAGCTGCAGCCTTTGTCAACAAAGCCCACATAAGCACTGCTACTTCGGCATTGCACTGTAATTATACTAGCTCTCTTTTCCATTAGTTGTAGGTTCATTCTGCTATGTGGCCTGCCCTTTGAGACTGTCCTGAACTATTACAAATTGCTCAGTTAGCACTCAATTATTCTTATTTTTTAAAAGATAGCCACAACATAGGAACTTGGTAGTAAAGGAGGCTAGACCTGTTTTGGTGTGTAGTGGTACATAGGCTGCACTAAAATTATCGGGAATGGAATATTTCCACTGTTCCTGTCATATTAAAATCTTTTTAATTGAAAAGCCCTTGGTTTTAAAAATCGAATACCATTTATTTATTTAAAAAAAGATTCCCGGTCTTGTCACAAAGTTTTATCAAACTTGTTTAGTCGTTGAGAAAATGGAATTGACTCGAGAAAATTCAAGAGCGATGATTTATTATGACTTTCGAAGTAGTTTAACACAAAAACAGTGTGTTGACCGGATGATTTCTGCATTTGGTGATGAAGCCCCATCCAAAACCACAATTTATCGCTGGTTTGCTGAATTTCAACGTGGACGTGTCAAGCTCAGTGATGATCCCCATCAAGGTCGTCCAAAAACTGCAGTCACCCAAGAAAACTTTGATGCTGTGCGTAAGCTGATTGAGGAAGATCGACATGTGACATACCGCGAAATTCAGGCAACTTTAGACATTGGCATGAGTCAAATACAAATAATCTTGCATGAACAATTAGGTGTAAAAAAGTTGTTTTGGATGGATACCGCATTCGCTCTGTGAAGAGCAACAAGCGGCTCGCGTTACTTGGTGCGTCAGAACTCTCGAAAGATTCCACGCAGGATCCTCAAATGCTGTATACAACATCGTATCGGGTGACGAATCCTGGATATACGCGTTTGCGCGTACGAGTTTGGGTGTTCGAAAATGAGTTAAAGCCAACAAAAATTGTTCGTTCACGGAGTGTTGCAAAAAAAATGGTGGCCACGTTTGTCTCCAAAACCGGCCATGTTACCACTATTCCTCTTGAGAGACAAAGAACGGTTAATGCAGAATGGTATGCTAGCATTTGTTTGCCACAGGTCGTTTCTGAACTCCATAAAGAGAACTGCAACTGCCGCATCATCCTCCATCACGACAATGCGAGTTCTCACACCGCACACGGAACAAAAGAGTTTTTAGAGCAAGAAAACATAGAATTATTAGACCAACCGCCGTACAGCCCCGACCTAAGCCCTAATGATTTCTATACTTTCCCTAAAATAAAGAATAAATTGCGTGGACAGAGATTTTCATCACCTGAAGAAGCTGTGGACGCCTACAAAACGGCCATTTTGGAGAGCCCCATTTGCGAATGGAATGGTTGCTTCAATGATTGGTTCCATCGTATGGAAAAATGTGTCAAATTTCGCGAAGAATACTTCGAAAAGCAATAAATACATTTTTAAATAGTAATGTTGTGTCACTTCCTTGATTCCCGAAATTTTCAGTGCCGCCCTCGTAGTGTATTAATATCCGCTTATATCTTATTAACCCTTGGGTGTCGTAAGAGGCGACAGAGGGAAACGGAAACAGGTGATGGGCAGCAGCATCTTCCTGAAAACAACAAAAAATCTAAAAAAAAGCTGCAGTTGCCAACCTGCCTGCCAAATGTGCCAAAATTCCCTCTTTGGAGCAATCTATAGATTAGGCGTGTTTAACAATGGACTATACTGAATAATACTTACACCCATCTTTTCTGCCGACTTCCAAAAAGGAGCCGGTACTCAATTCGACTGTATGTTTTTTTTTTCGTTTTTTTTTTAATGTGTGTTACCTCAGAACTTTTTTCTGGGTGAACCGATTTCGATGATTCTTTTTTTATTTGAAAGCTGGTACTTCTCGTGTGGTCACATATGAATTTGATCAAGGTCAGACCAATAGTTTTTAAGTTATTCTTAAATAACTTATATTGAAGTCGGCTGTACAAAATTTTTAATTTTAAATTATAATTTGGTATGGTCATCCAAAGCTGTGATTTTTGGGTACTGCCCCAGAGGGAAAGTATTGTTTTTGTAAAGTATGTATGTATGTCTATTTCTTTGGCACGCTCTGTCTCCTAAATGACTTGATGGATTTTAACATATGAAGTGTTGTTAGATTCATATTATTTGTGGGAGTGACATAAGCTGTATAATGCAAATACAAACAAAAAAGAGAGGAGAAGGTTTTTTTTCCATACACCTTTTGACACAGTCGGTTTTTTTTTTCAGTAAACTTTTTGATGCATTTGTTTTTTTTAACTATTAAGCTTGTTCAGTATAGTGGCAATATTGTGCCGTTGTGTTCTCAGGTTTGGAAATGTGCACGGAGACTTGGCGGGGCGCGGGCGTGACCCGCTCGCCCTCACACGATTCATTCACTACGGACTCCCTCTCCCTGTTTAGTGTGTCCTCCGCAGCCTCTGATGCTCGGGTGCTACGGCTCCTAGCTTCTAAGGTGATGAATGACATTTCCATCTTATACTTTATCATTATTCTGATCATAAGCATTTCCAAACTTTTTACAAACAGATATTTTACATCTGCATGATGTGGTGTACCCTGCTAGCTAAGGATTGACACCTGAACACATTAATATATTTTTTACTTATATATACAATTCTTCTGTATATGTTTGTCACTGAACTCCTTCTTAACGGCTGGATCGATTTTGAGTGGGTCACTGGTTGGTTTATATTCACTATTGGACCAGGTAGGTTCAGATCCAGAAATCACCCATGCAAAGCTGGGGGCGTTTCACTAGTTTTTTATTAAACTTAAGCAACAGATGATCTTACAGTCGCCATGATGATAAGTGGCTTCTGCAGTCCATGGACACTTGGAGCCTTCAAACAAAGAAGGCTTCAGATGCTTTGTCGTCTCTGAGGCTTAAGATGGAATGGCGCGAACTCTGTAATAATAATGGCTCTACAGTTTCAAACTGGAACGCAGAAAAAATTAAGAAATGGCACCTACACATGTGAACTTTTATGGGGCCTATACACCATGATTGACATCCACAGAATGGGGCATATTTGTCACAATCAATGCGCGGCTGCCCACACAATCGTGCATCATACATATTTGTATTGTTATTTGTCCAAGGTGGATGTTGAAACATTAGCAGCTGCCGCTATTTTAATTTGAAAAATTTTAATTTTAGTTTTGCTGCAGAATTTCTTTATATTATCTTTATTTAAAATCAAAAGCATCATCTGGCAGTGCCAGCGATAGTAGGTAATAGTCGTTATCACCTAACCTTAGAACCTTTTTAAAAAATATAGAATATGTTATGACCGTGTGTCAAGCATTAGGTACTTGTAGCCCTGATAGCGACTGACAATAAAATTTCATAACAACAACTGACAACAAACTCACATTCGCCTTTATAATATTAGTTAGGATAGCTTGGTACCTCCCGCGTTTTTATTGATGAAATTTATTTTTTGGATTCCATAATGCGGGTTCATTTTGGTACGATTAATTTAAATGTTTCGTCATTAGTCCACTTCACTGTACCGTAAACAAATAGAACTGAGTGATCGGCGATCATGTAGACACGCGAACGATCATGGCCGAACTTCCTTTGATGTTTGTCCAAAAAACCAACACAGCGGCCATTACGCTCGATCATCACCGATTATGGGCAATTATAGACAGTTATGACCTCTGCACGATCGTGATCGCTAGTATTCGTCCATCATGGCCGATGGAGTATTTTTTTTTATTTTATAGGTTAAGGGTGACAAACGAGCATACAGTCCACCTGATGTAAGTGGTTGCTGCAGCCCATAGACATCTACATCTATCCTCTATTACAAACCGAAATGCAGATGCGTTGTCACCCGTGAGGACTAAGATGAAATGCCTCATTTCCAGTAAAAAGGGTATCCGCTTCTCTACACTCACCATACGAACCACAGCAGCGTTAAGCTGCTATTTTACGCTGGTATTTTGTGAGAGTGTGATCCTTCCCCCGTCGAGCCGACCCATTCATGCTACAACTATACTATAAATATAGCTGCAGCATGGCTCTAGCACGTATAAATATATAGTATTTAAATAATATAGAGAAATTCCCAGTGTGGAGGTATTGCTTTTGGAGAAATGCAAAATCATATAATATAATTAATCTTTGTTTCAGGCTGGTCAAGGTCCCGATCCAGCCATTAGGGTTGCCAGTCCCAATCCAGATGGTAAGGCGTCTAAGTAAGTAGAAAATATTACTATTTAAATACCACCACTTACTACTACTAAGAATACATCACGAAGTTTTGTCTCATGGGGACCGTAAGAGGCGTCTATGAGAAGTGATAAAAAATCTTATGGTTTCCGATAGATAGTGGTATAACACCTCGTTATTCCAGTTGTGAAATACCCAGACCGGCGACGGGCAGCGGCGTTAAATTAATGCAAACCCTCCCTATATTGGTAGAGGCTCATATCCAACAGTTGTCTTTTATGGGTTGACAAAGAAGCGGAAGCAATGGGTATCAAAAACAATAATGTTCTGTATATTTTAGTTTTAGAGAAATCTTTGGTCCAGTTTTCAACATCATCATTACAGACTATCGAAAGTCCACTGCTGAACATAGGCATCCCATTTAGTTGCTGCATTGTCAGAATCATTCCGAGAGTGGGATACACCTAAGACGTGCGACCTGGTGCGCATTTGCAACGGGCTCACGAACTTAAGGTAAGTGTCATGTTAGGCACATCAGGGATTTGCCATAGTTGCCATGCTTAAGGGGATATTGCAATCTCTCAGATTATTATTATGGAGTTGTTAACAGGAAGATTCTGCTTCCCATCTCTTTTTTAATTTCTTACTGTCGTTTTTACGACACCAACGGGATGTATATACTCTTCAGACTGGAACACAGCAGTGTAAGCACTACTTTTTGATGGCAGAAATAGGTAAGAGTGTAGTACCCATGGAGCAAATACAAAGAGGAGGTGGCATAAGCAACTGTGCACTGTGATTCTAACTAGGTCCTAACGTCATCACAGTAGGCGTGGCTTTACTTAGTATACTGTCAGCGTTCGTTCTGTGCGCTTATGTGTCGAAAATTGCAAATCGGTGTATTATCGTAGTATTAAGAAGAACAGGATGAGATGTGTTTTATCGTGTAAAAACTAGTCAGATAGACGCTCTGATGCTATGGATGGCATTACATTTCATTTGTAAGTAATTTTATATCTAATTTATAAATATAAAAGGTTCTAAGAAAACTCTGCGTCGGCTTTCAAATGTAATTAAATATATTCGACACTAGATGACGACACTTTGCGTCGTGGGAACTAAAATATAAAGGTAAGAAGAGCTCAGTATTGGTAAAATAATCATACGAAAGTGTTGAAATTTGTATTGCATTCACTCCTAAAGAATTTTTAATCGCCAAAATATAATTTTTATACTTTTTATAATCATTTTATGAACAGGCCGCCATCTATCGTCAAGGTAGCTAAACTACATTGCAACATCGATTTGGAACCATGCGAGTAGTTTTACTATTTATCGGTAGATGGAAAAAAGTAAAGTGGGCGGGGCTCAACATCCCCTCACCCCGCAAATTGTCACGCGTTGTTACATGGTTAAATCTAATTACAACACCTCTTTGTATTTGTTCCGTGGTAATACCTGCCGGTAGACTACTATAGGTAGAAAAAGGTCCTACCCTCAGTACCATTGTAATAATAATGTCCTAATAATAGTGGCCAGTCTCAGCGGAGATTAGTCATACCCGGATACAAGCCTGTACACTTGGTAAAGCCACACAGCAATTGCATAATGACTGCAGTAGAAATGGGTCGGTCTGAAGGACCATATTCTTAATTGACTATTCACTAGGTGTAGGTGGCAGGAAACGTAAAGAGTCCAGTCAAGAGGAAAGAAAAGAAAATGTTTAATTGAATCCATAGGCTCCCAAACTAGTGTAAACTGTGCTTCAGGAGCCAGTGGAGTGGGAAACCACCCACTTACCTATTTCTGTTTAATAGTAGTATTTACACTGCTATGTTCCAGTCTGAAGGATATAGAGTGAGAGGTGACGACGCATCTGTTACACTATTTGCTTGAAGTAAGCTGCAGGTGTCAGTTTAGGTTCTTTATGAAAATTTTATGCAATTTTTTTTATAGAATAAGGTGGTTGCTGTGGCCCATAGACATCTACACCTATCCTTTACAAATCAAAATGCAGATGCGTTTGTCACCCGTGAGGACTAAAATGGGATGCCTCATATCCAGTAAATAGGGTCTCCGGTTTTCTACACTCACCATACGATTCTGTGGGAGCGTGGTCCTTCCCCGGTCGAGCCGACCCACTGCACGCAAATGCACTGCAGAAGCGAGCTTGTTCGGTGATAAACTCGCTGAAGGAACCGAGGTCTGGTCTAGAGTCGTATTTTTCGGTGTAGATTCTATACCACTGTGCACGTATACAGTTTGGCAACAACTATACTATTAATATAGCTGCAGCATGGCTCTCCCATGTACATACACAAGAAAAAGTGTGGGGAGGGGGAAGGAGAGGGGTGTTAATGTCCTAGTGTAGAGGTAACTTTTTTTTTTTATAAAACAAGTATCGTACTTCAGACGATCGTCCGCGGCTCTACCGCTGTCCTCCGGGGAGAGTGGGGACGCGTGTCGCGAAGTCCTGGCGGGCTGTGCTGCTCTATGCGCTCAGTTAGGGCTCCGCAGGTCCTTCAGCTCTGGGGACGTGTGCGCCCCACACATGGCACCCCCGCCGCGGAGGTAAGTGATGATTTATCGTGACCTTGATGTCTTCATCGGGAACTTCCTCCGACCAGAGAAGAAACGGTGACAAATTTTTGCGGATATCCTCCTCCCTTTGTAATTTTTGAAGTTTAAACACAATAATAGTTATTTCGTAATAAACATGACCTATTGGTTGTAAAAGTATGGGACGGGGGTTGGTGAGTGGGGCACCCTTATAGGGTTACTTATACACTTTTATGAACTTAGTCCTGGCGGGCTGTGCTGCTCTATGAACCGAAACCAATATAATAATATATATTATATTATTATATTGGTTTCGGCGGTAGGTGTAGAAAAAGTCGACATTGTGCTTCTAAGTTTAATCTAAATTAAAATTATATTTAATTACATTTATTTCACTGTTCTACGTATAATTTAAATTACTTACAGTTCAGTTTAATGAAATATAAGGTGCACAGTTTAATGTTGTAATTTTGCGTTTTGTACCAACCTACCGGCTAACCCACAAACTATCTGCTTATTCACTTCACAAAATTTCTTATTGATTTCACTGCACTTTAAAATGGCATCATACGACATGGTATTGGAAAATCAGCTAACCATTGAACCTAACTTGTTGAAGAAATTATCCGATTTTGAATCCCTACTCAAGCCATCAACAACACAGGCAAGCACCTCCGCTTCACGTCTTCAGGAGGAATTTCAGGAGTTCAAAGCTCAAGTCTGGAGCATAATGAGTTTACTTCGACAACAAATATCCGAGTGTGCAATGTCTAATGAAATAATTGAGATGAGACACCGTAGGAAATATCTCTTGTTTCATGGAGTGCCAGAGGATACTGCTGGAAGCCTCTCTGATTATTTTGTTGAACTATTATTTAAACGCAAATAAGTTTGGGCTTCAAAATGTTACTAGTGATGCTCTGAAAGTATGTCATCGTCTCGGCAAAATCACTGAAGGCAAGTGTCGACCCATATTAGTACGCTTCTCTGAACCTTTACTTAGATCGACTATTTGAAGAAAAAAGGTGTGTTTTAAGGGTACATCTGTTGTTGTATCAGAGTTCTTAACTCGCCAACGACAGTCTCTCTTCCTACTTGCTCGCAAACGCTTGGGCATACGCAACTGCTGGACCACAGATGGCAATATTTTTATTAAGGCACAGGACGGTACGCGTCATCGTATTTATCGTGAAGAGGATCTTGCTATTTTCGCTGATACTACGAATAAGCAAGCAGCCTCTGCAGAGAAAAGCCCGAACTATCAGGCAACTCCCCTTGTGACCACGGCTTCCTCAGAGCAACATTCGAGATCGAAGAGATCTGCCCGTGTTAAGAAGTGATAAGTAGTGTTTGTTACTTTATACTGGTTATAATAAAATGGTGTTGTTTTCTGATTATATACTTCAAAGATTATACATTGTTTTTTGCCCTGTATTTTGCACTTATTATGAATTTGTGTATTGTTCTAGGTCTAGTTCTTATTTTTAGGGTTAGTTTTTATTGTTTATAATTGTTTACAGCTTGCTTCTTATTTATTTGTATATGTTTATAATGTGCTAGAGTAAGTGAATGTCATAGATAAATATATTTGTAGCAAGCTGGTGAATGTTTACAATTTAACATAACCCATAGCCACAAACCACAAGATATTTGTAATCTATGACTTTTTTTAGTCTTAACTCATTATTGTCTTGCCCTGGACTCTTAGCTTTTTGCCAGTCCAATTCTTTCCCTTCAATTTTGTATTATTTTTTTCTTTTTAAGGCGTTGTTCGATTAGTTGTTCTTAGTACTATTTTGATTTAGGGTTGGTATTTTTAATTATGATTGATATGTATACAATACAAATAACTGCAAATTATTGTCTTATGTTACATTTAAATAATGTATATTTTAAATTGTGTAACTTTTGTTGATAAACTGTTGTTATTATAATTTATTAGCTGATAACAGGCGCGTTGCTGCCTTAGGAAAATAATTGTCGAAATATCGTTTTTAAATTTGGAAGTTATATTGTTTAATCAGGTCTTTCAAATAAATTTTTTGGTATGATACGTGCACCACCTTTTGTAAGTTAGTAGTAGTATGCCTATAACCTTAAGTGTAAGCAATAAGTTGACAAAATTTTAGTGAAATCTGATTAACGATATGGCAGCGCATAAAACACGAACAAGCAAAAATTAATTTTTATATATTAGATGTACATTCTATTGAGCTTGATAATATGTTTTCTGCTGGGTTAGCCGTAGGGATTGATATTTTTTTAGTGCTCGTATTATTATTTTTCTGGTATTTACTCATTAGTATTTTGTATTTAAATATATATATATATATATATATATATATATATATATTGTATATATCGTAATACAGTATTTTTAAGTAGGTACATATCTTATGCTGTTCTAATTTATATTACGGTATGTTGTCTGATGATGATTCATTCTATTCTGCTTGTGATTCTTCTGCAAGCTTTGATTCTTTTGATGAACCTGAAACTCTGCGTGATTTGCTAAATAACTCCTTTGTTAACTTTAACTCTTCGTTCAACGTTTACCATATTAATGCACAGAGTATTCCCTCACATTATGCTGATCTTTTAGAGACTTTCTCCTCTTCTTCTTCAACTGTGCAGGCCATTCTTATTCCGAAAAGTTGACTTAAGCCTTCACTTTCAACTTTATCCTTCAGCTTACCCGGGTTTGTCTTAATCAGGAATGACAGAATTGGCAAGGGTGGAGGTGGCGTCGCCATTTACCTTCGTTCTACCTTTCTTTTTCGATTATTGCTTCGTCACCTACACAATATTCTGCCTCTGCCGAATATTTATTCCTGGAAATTCAGGTGGGACGTTCCCGGCTCGCTCTGGGTGTCGTTTACTGTCCCCCTTCTGTAGGATATTTCTCTAGCTTAGAAACCGTCATGGAATCTCTCAGTGCGGACTACTTACATCACATTATCATGGGCGACTTTAATACTGACCTTCTCAAAACTTTTACCCAAAAGACTAAACTCCTTAATATCCTGTCCTCAGTTAACCTTTCCATTCTTCCTTGCTCTCCGACACACCACAATCCTGATTCTCCAGACACTTGGCTTGATTCAATCATAACCTCCTCTCCCCAATTAGTAGTTAACTATAGTCAGTTGTCTGCTTATAGATATATACTATATAAACTAAAACCACCTAAATCTAAACCGAACACCATCTTGATACGAAATTTTGCCAGAATGGACCCTGCTAATTTAGAAAATGATGCGTTGAATATAGATTTTTCTCCGGTGTATGGTGCGTCTTCAGTGGACGACAAAGTCTCAACTTTCACTGATTTAACTCTGAAACTATTTGATGTCCATGCACCGGTGAGAGCTATTAGAGTTAAGTGACCCCCAGCTCCATGGATTACGAGGGGAGTACGCATGGCAATGACTCGACGTGATAGGGATTTTAGAAAATTCAAGCGTGACAGGTGTGATGACAACTGGCGTTTGTATAAAGTGGCTCGCAATCGATGTAACCACATGGTAAGGGCAGCGAAGCGTTGCTATTTTCATGAAAATATTTCTAACTCTTCTTCGGCCGATGTATGGAAGTTTCTCAAATCTCTTGGTATTGGTAATCACTCTGAAAAAAAGTCATATCATTTCTTTTCCTCTTAATGATCTTAATTCTCATTTTTCATCTGGCTCTACATTGTCTACTATCATTAAGTCCACTACAATTTCTGAAATTACTTCTTTGGCCACATCTCAACATGAACCATTTTCATTCTCGTTTGTCTCTGTCGACGAAGTTCGTAAAACTTTTGTATCTATTAAATCCAAAGTAGTGGGCTGTGATAATGTGAGTTGCCTTATGATCTCTTCTGTTCTAGAAATTTTTCTCCCAGCCATAACTCACATAATCAATTTTTCTTTGTTGTCCGGGGTCTTTCCTGCCTCTTGGCGTAAAGCTTATATTATCCCTCGTCCCAAAATTGCAAACCCCACTCAACTCAACAACTATAGATCTATTTCTATCTTACCCTTCCTATCAAAACTTCTTGAATCTATAGTTCACCAACAATTGTATGCTTTTATTTGTAGAAATTACTTACTATCTCAGTTCCAATCTGGCTTTCGGCCTGGACACAGCACGACCACTGCACTTCTCAAAGTCACAGAGGACATTAGGGAGGGCATGGAGAATAGAAAGGTCACAGTACTTGTATTGATTGATTTTACAAATGCGTTCAACATGGTTGACCATGATATTCTCCTTGCCATGCTTCAAAATCTCAAATTTTCGTCTACTGTTGTATACTGGTTTTCTTCCTACCTTTGTGGCCGTCAGCAAACTGTCATTAATGGTCGTGACATATCTGACTGGTGTCAGCTCTCCACTGGCGTGCCACAAGGTGGAATATTATCTCCACTTCTGTTCTCCATTTTTATTAACTTTCTCTCTTCTCAACTTAGCTGCTCTTACCATCTTTACGCTCATGACCTGCAAATGTATGTTCAAGCAGACGTCAACTCTTTGTGTGACGCCATTGCCAGACTCAATATGGATTTAACAAATCTCCACAGTTGGTCTCGTAAGTTTGGTATTGGTGTGAACCCCAATAAATGCCAAGCTATAATAATCGGCAGTGCTCAACAACTATGTAAGCTTGACGTCCATTGCGTTCCACCTGTCACGTTTGATAGTTCTATCATACCTTATTCTGACAGCGTTAAAAATCTGGGTATCTACTTTGACACAACCTTAAGTTGGTCCACCCAAATTCAGAATATTAGTGGTTCTGTTTTAGCTAAGCTCTGTGCTTTGAACCGTCTTAGGAACTTTCTTCCGGTCAAGGTAAAGATAACTCTGGTGCAATCTCTTATTTTGCCTATTATTGACTATGCTGATGTTTGTTTTCCTGATCTCAATGAGGTTTACCTTGATAAGCTGGATCGTCTCGTCAATAACTGTATCCGTTTTATTTTTCGTCTTCGCAAGTTTGATCATGTATCCTCATTTCGCACACAGCTTAAATGGCTTCCAATTCGTCAGCGAAGACACATTAGGATACTTAACACAGTTTTTTCTATTTTATTCGATAACCACTATCCAAATTATCTAAAACATACCAGTTTATATGGTATATTTTAGATAATTTGGATAGTGGTGGTATCATATCATAACAGTTTCTGCGGGACACTCATGACAGACAGCTTTGTTCATCGGAGACTCGCTCTCTCTATTCCCCTTCACCGTTCGAGTTTCACTTCTTCATCGTTCGCTGTCCAAGCCGCACGCCTATGGAATGACCTGCCTGAAAAAATAAGACAACCTACCTGCAAACTAACATTTAAAAAGAACATTCGAGATCATTTTCTAAAACTGTTTTACAACTGCTAAGTCCCGTCATCATTAGTATATTACGTATCTTTATGTATCTTGTATTTATATTATATTTTATTATAGTATATAAATTTATATACTTGTGTATATGTATGTATCTATGTATAACATGTATATGTATGTGTGTATGCATATTTCTTTGTAACCGCCTTCGTAGTTATATCACTGTCTTAAGGTTGACTGGCAGAGAATGCTTTTAGTATTTAATCCGCCTTTTGTTCCTTTACTTAATGTGTAAGGTTCAATAAAGTTTAAATAAATAAATAAATAAACTTACTATATTATGGTGTTTGATTTATCTTTTCTTTATATTTAAAAATTACGTGTCACATTGTTTGTCCGCGATGAACTCTTAAACTACTGAATTGATTTTAATAACATTTTGCACGCTGTGTGCAGTTTGGTCCAATTTGAGAGACGGGATCGCTGTTACCCGGATAAGTGATCGTCAAAATGTTTTATTGCTAATTTAAGGATTTTTATAGGACAATGGATCATCAGAAAGAGAGAGAGAGAGAGAAGAACAACATCTGTCTGGCCACCTAGAATAAATATAACCAATATAACAATCTTAATAAGCGTTGACCGCTATGTGTGTGTGTGTCTGTTTGTTGCACCGTAGCTCTAAAACGGGTGAACCGATTTGGGTTCTTTTTATTTAAAAGCAAGTTTTCTAGCGGTGGTTCTTATCAAAATCGGTTCAGGCATTTCAAGTTCATCAGCTCTTTTGTTAGCTACGGTAAGGTTCTTTTCGGGGGTTTTAAAATTTTCAATTTATTTTATCGCATTTTCATGGCTAATGTACAAAGTCAATCATCACACATCAGAAATTAAAGGATGCGTATGCCCATTAGTGGTATATATGTAGGCTATAACTTAACAACCCCCGAATAGCCTCTTAATACTTACCATATATTCATAAGGAACATGGCAACATTATGCTGCTTATTCACACTGGTATTCTGTGTGATAGTGGTCCTTCCTTGGTTCTCCGACTCCAGCCATACAGCTGCAGCAAAGCACTACCACATCATCATAATTACGTTATTAATTCGATTTATTTTATATTAAATTACAGTGCTACGTCGGAAGTGGGGCTGTGTGCCGCACTGGAGGCTCTAACTTTAAACGCTGCCTCGCGCTCCTGCAGTACTTGGGTCGCAGGTACACGAACACAGAGATTTTTATAAAACTTAGTGATAAACACCACAATTCCTTTAACGTTTTTCGGCACAAAATTGTACAATTTGTTAATTTTACTTTGTAGTAAATTTTTTAGTGTATATATGTTTTAGTTTTGTGCTGTATATTTGTAGCTTTACGTGATAGAGCTATGCTATAGCTTTATTACGGTTATAGTTCGAATGGGTCTGCTCGACCGGGGTAGGACCACGCTCTCATAAAATATCAGACTAAAATAGCAGCTAAATGCCGTTGTGTTTCGTATGGTGAGTGTAGAGAACCGGAGACCCTTTTTACTGGATACAAGGAACTCTGTCTTAGTCCTCAGGGACAACGCATCTGCATTTAAATTTTATAAACGAGGATAAATCTAGATATCTGAAAGCCACAGCACCCACTTACTATCAGGTGGACTGTGTGCTCGTTTGTCACGCTTATTCTATAAAAAAATCTAATAATGTTAAGGTACTAAGAAATGCTGTGAGCACTAAGCACTAATAAGGTATTTACATATTATTAAATATGAACTTAGTTTATGTTACTGTCTTCGAATTAAGAATAAGCATCAGTGTAACATTTCTTGGTGATATGATATGAAATTAGAAAATAAAAATAAAATAAACAAACTCACAGTCCACCTTACTATCGTAAGTGGCTACTGTAGTCCATAGAAACTTGGAGCTGACTCCAAATAAAGAAGCCTGTAAAAGCATTACTTACAGAATGATAATATGCAGAGTGATGTCGCTGGTAAGTGGTGTTAGGGATTAGGGTACAGTCAATTTCCGGTCGAGTAATTGACAGGTCGCCATATATTTGTAGTATAGTTCTTTTTATCTGACTGCAGCTGACTTCAAAAAGATTGTAAAATGATGGCCGGTATGTACGTATATCCGTTTTTTTTTTTATTAATGTAATGACAAGTGAACTGCAGTCACAAACTGTCCACATAATGGTATGTGATTACGGTAGCCCATGGGCACTGCTGCCATCCTCAAAGAAAATGCGACTAATCCGTTGTCACCCAACATGACAACCAATCTACATTTTGATCTTTAATCGAGGATAGATGTAATTGCTTACAAACTACAGCATCCACTACATTTGGACTGTGTGCTAGTTTGTCGCCTTTAAATATATAAAAGAAATATTTTCAGTGGGTGGTTCCCAGTTGCCGTCTCCACAACGCGGGCACCCATCACATACTGGACCACGTCAACTACCCAGTGACAATAAGAAGGTATCGCTTTTATAGCCACTGTATGAGTATTTCGTATTATTTTAAGTGGAAGTAATGTTTTGATACGTAATGCAGGCCTGTCTACGTGAAAGGGATAAAATTTAAACGTTAATGTCCGGCTCGAAGGACCATATCTATACTAATAAATAAAATTGAAGTGTCTGTTTGTAATGTCAAAATTACAGCTTTTTATTAAATGCATATGAAAGTATATACGGTACTTATAACAAAAATACAATTTTTAAAATTTTTGTCTGTCTGTCTGTCTGTTTGTTCCGGCTAATCTTCGGAACGGCTGGACCGATTTTGACGGGACTTTCACTGGCAGATAGCTGATTTCATGAGGAGTAACTTAGGCTACTTTTATTTTAGAAAAATAATAATAGTTCCGCGCAAAAAAATTAAAACCCTAAATTACACGCGGGCGATGTCGCGGGGACAGCTAGTTTTTATATAAGTTCAAGTAACAAAACGTCTTACTATTTTACATTTTTTTAACGTAGTAACTGTTGCATTATATTAGTCTATAATACCATTATTTAAAGGAATATTTGCTTGATTTCATGCGAGGAACTACGCTGGTTTCTGTAAAAATAAAATTATATTCGTAATATGCACACACATGAAGCAACAAAAACATTAAGCGAAGACACACACACACACACACACACACACACACATCTATTACTACTACTATTGCACTGACTTGAGTAATAGTTAAAAAATATAGGCAAGTATGATCAAAGTCTTTTTTATTAATTTTTGTTTCTTTTTTTACCCACATCCAAAAACTAACTTTTAAGGTGTTTTTAGTAGTGTCAATGCGGTACCTATGTGCCCTTTCATATCGAACAGGATGTTATTTATTTACTCTATAAACAATTTCTTATTTCCAGGTTCGTCAGAATTATATAAAGAAACGCCTGCTCACCACATACAGGGCCTTGGAGAGAATGTCCCAGTCCGAATTCAATTTAGACAGGCTAGAGGTGAGTTATGGAAAATTTACTTTGTTTTATTTACTACTAGCAACGCCCTTTGGTTTCGCCCGAGTAGGATCTATTAATGTGGCGTTATTTAGACTTTAGAGTTATGATAATCTTAATAACTTAATAATTACTTTTTTTTTAAATATCCAAGATATACGGATAAAATATAGCGTAGATCACTCCTGGCATTGCTCTCTATATGTTCATGAAGTTTCATTACGATCCGTTTGATAATTCCGATTATCCTGGACAGACAAATATACAGAAAAAAATGCAAGTCTTAATGCCATACAAGTAACCTCCTCAGCTTCAATCTATTTTTATGTATAGATTTTCGTTGCCTCTTGCCACGAGTGGATACTATATTTCATGATTTCATCGTTATCATTGTTCAACAGTGGACTTATAAAGGACTGTAGAGATCTCCCCCAAGGGTGCCACAAAGCACGGTGCTGAGCTTATCTACATCACTTACCAGGCTGTCACTGCTAACCCATATGAGATTGGAACTCAAGGACCTTTCTTCTCAATTGGTTGTCGGTTCTTCGATCTATATGGCCGACACATTGCCACTTTAGCTTACTGATACGTTAGGGTAAATTATTTACTCGTGCAGATATACGATTCGTGCAATCAGTAATTTTGTAGCAGTTTATAATTATTTTTATGTTTTAAAAGGTATATTGTCGGTGTATCTATATAGGACTGAATAATAAAGATGCACATGACTACTACTTACATTTGAAGAAACCATGTTAATCATATTGTAAAAACAGGCACTCATGCACACATTTGTACCCAAAATCATTTACAGCTCATAACATGCTTTTGTTTATTGTGGCACTAACAAGATATAAGTTTTAAGAATTGTAATAATAAAATACTTAATTTAAAAACTGAACGTAGAAACTAACTTTATCTTAATCAGGGTTATATTTTGTTTAATAAACATAATAAAATGAAATCGTTATTTGTCGGTCTGAGGTGTGTAATGAATGAATGAATAGATCGGCACTCTTATTCCCAGCAAGCGGCCGCGGCGTCCGCAGCGGGGCGGGGAGGGGGCGTGCCCGTGCTGCCTGCGCCGCGCGCGCACACGCGTCTGCTGCATCCCGGTACCTACACACACACGCACATGTACATGCACAAACACGCGCACACACACTCGCGCGCGCACCCATGCACGAACATGCACACATACATACGCGTGTACACCCACATACGAACACATGCACACACACACACACACACACTGCGCGTGCGCGCGTGTGTGTGTATACATACTTATAATTATTCCTACATTATTGAATTAAATACATAAATCAATCTTACAATAATTAATAAAACATTAAAATATATCGTAGACAATAACAAATTTACACTATTGTATCGTTAATATAATATTTATATCATGTCATAATACACAGTTATGATAAATGGGTGACGTAGTGTATGACATAATCCTATTCACTCTTATCTTCTAGACACCCACATTGTAATCGAGTGGACAGACAAATTATTCCACTTCCCTACTGTACGCATAACAAACGAAAGACGAACGTATACAAACAGCTTTACTCTTACGTACGTACACATTCCTAATTGCAGACAGCACCCCGGCACACAAACACGCACGCACGCACGCTCGCACGCACACACACACACGCGCACACACACACACACACACACACACACACACACACACACACACACACACACACACACACACACACACACATACATACATACATCCTAACATAATGACATGCTTTCCATACCTCTTCAATACGCAAACGTTTACACATATACATTATTATTATGACAACGTATTTACATTTTTATTGATAATTGAGAATAGATGTCGAAGTTTATGGTCCACAGCATCCACTTACCATCAAGTGGACTGTGTGCTCGTTTGTCACCTTTATCCTATAATAAGGAGTACCTCGCTGCTCTTTGAAGTTTGGCTACCCCCTTGGAAATTCCAGTGTAAGAATTTCTTCGAATTTTTTCTTTCGTTGACTTCAAAGAGCAGATAGGTACTCTTTTTTTTAAAATTGTATAAAATAAAACTTAAAATTGGATCTTTATCTAAGACAACAGTTCCTAATGTTTTCACTGTCTCGTGATCGAACAGAAGCGGCGCACCTAGTCCTGACCGCCGCGGACTTGGAACGTGAACGCGGCCGCCCACTCTCCAAGTATGAGAGGAACATGATGATATTCAACTGGCTCCACACCCTGGACGAGGGGGCGCCTTTCTAGATCCTCCACTATTGTCCAAAGACACCCTTTCATAACTTTGTTATAATAGCATTTCGAGCCTCAATTTTGACAAGAAAACATAAAAATAAAATTTATATTATATTATAGCAGGAGTTTGGCGAGACCATTGTTTTAGTAAATAAATATACAATAATATAAAAAAAATCTAGTTCTAATAACAGATACGATAAAAACCGGTTCCTAAACGATATTATCCGAACGATTTCCCCGCAAATAAGTCCACTTGATTTGGATTATTCCAACCGTATAAATTATCACCTAAATATTTTTTGACAACCCTATTTATATATTTATAATTTACTACTATATAAAGTTATGAAAAGGTGGGATGATATCAAGTTATGGAACTAACTGGTGAGGTTCAATTTGGTAAAAAAATACTTAGATCTTGGAGGTTCTATAAGTATTCTAAAAATATAATTGATACCGTCATTAATAGATTATCACATTATACAATATATATAAAAAATCTGTCCAATTTGTAACTGCTTTTACAGAATCATAAACAGAATCATTCTGTTTATAAAGGTTTATAATCCTTTTCAAAGAATAAATTATAGTTACCCCACTAAAAAGACTTGAGAGACTTACATGACAACACATACGATGCGGGCAGCTATCGGGTAACGTTTTTTATCATTATTTCTAATACTAAGACCAGCTACAAACTGTTTATGACTAAAAATATTACATAAATACGTTATTTTTATCATAATCATCAACGCGAGCAATGATGATATTGCCAGATTTTTTTTTAAATGTGCTTAATTTTAAGCAAATTGTGCTGAAAAACATGCATTTTAAGTATCAATAATATTCTTATATTAATTTATTATTAATATGTTTTAATTCTTTGGTAATGTCAAATCACTACCTATGTGTACATTATAGATTGTCAGGATGTTTTTAACGTATTGTACTGTTTGAATTTGATACTTATGTCATTATCTAGAAACACGGTCGGTTTTCTATTTTAAATTTAAGACTAGCTACTACGAGAGTGTCAACTACCCTCCTTAGAATTGCAACTAAAATTAATTTTATCAGGCTTAATGCTTTTAACATTTTCTAGCACTTTCTCGAATGTTGTTTTGCTAAATAGCTATAAATGCATTAAAACAGAATGAAATCAGAACTATTTGAGTAAATAAATATATATGTCTGGAATAATCTAGAAAAATATTTAAAAAAAATCTTCTCCTACGATTCCTACGGGAGAAAATGTGGTATTGAGATCTCTTATATTGCCACTTCTAACTAATTAAATCTAAATACAAAATAATACGATACATATAATAAGATAACATTCTGGCTGGTTCTAGAATGTTCCTTAAACCTCCTAGAATATTCTAGTGGTGTCTAGACTGTAAATTAATTGTAAGATAATAAACTTGCTATTTGTCATTCTGTTTGTGTTCTTGTTTTGATATAGAATAGGTGGATGGATATATTTGTTGAAGCGTTGATTTGAAATATATCTTGGAATATATTGAATACCAAAAAAAATGGGGTGTGTCTTTCGGTCATTGTCACGTCACGGCCGTGTTTTACGTGTGTACGTAACGTCAAAATTTATACTAAACGGAAATTATGTGACGCAGCGCAATTACTTTAACATATCCCCTCCCCCCTCCTTCGTCACAGTGTTCACTTAACTACTTGTACTATTATATATTCTGTGACTCAACGTAACAAACTCTTTGATCCTTAAGCTGGGGAGTGGTGTGATTAAATATTGTAATTAGATGATAGATATAGCAGCAACGCCAAACCACAGTCTAACTAACTACTAACAGTTGGTCATCGAAGGCGTCTGGACGGGCCAATCGTGCGGTGCGGTGCGGCCTGAGCGCTTCCCGAGTGGCTGAGAGCCTAACTGTCCGCTAGGGTTGTCCCACTATGGAAGCAAATTTAAAGACTATACCACCCTCAATAAACGGAATGTAGAATAAAAACATACAGGGTGGCCCATAAGTCCCTTGAAATGTAAAAAAATAATTAATAAAAAACTAATGACATTATGAAAAAGGTTTTTATTTTGTCATAATCCTTATAAAATGGGAATTATTTTTTGAAAATTACATCATCTAAATGTAATCCGTTACGATCGCGGCACTCCTGTAAGCGACGTTTAAAATTATCCATCACTGCGTGGCAAGTAAGCTCTGTAATGTTTGCCATTTCTCTTTGGATATTTTCTTTCAGGACGTCAATTGTCCGCGGGTTGGTTTCGTACACTTTAGTCTTAAGATAACCCCATAAGAAAAAGTCCATTGGGGTCAGATCTGGACTACGTGGTGGCCAAGGAATATCTCCTCTTCGAGAGATCACTTTATTAGGGAAAAGTTGACAGACGACCGGCATAGCGACGTTAGAGGTATGGGCAGTTGCTCCATCTTGTTGAAACCAGGTCCGCGTATTGAAGCCTGGAAAATTCTGCAACTCTGGTGTAAAAAAGTCCTGGAACATAGCTATATACCGTTGTGAAGTAACAGTAAGCGCGCGGCCTCTGCCGTCCTCAAAAAAGTAAGGGCCTATAATGCCATGCGCTGACATAGCCGCCCAAACTGTCACTTTAGGGCTATGCAAGGGCTTTTGATGTTTGCGATTTGGATTTTCGCAACTCCAGTAGCGACAATTTTGCTTATTGACATGGCCGTTGATGTGAAAGTGAGCCTCATCAGAGAATAACACGTTATTAAACGAAGTAAAGCGGTTCAACATTTCATTTGCGAAATTTAGTCTGTGGATAGTGTCAGTATCTTTTAATTCCTGTACTAACTGAATCTTGTACGGGTGAAGATGTAAATCTTTCTTTAAAATTCGCTGTAACGATGTTCTGGGTAAGTTTAATGCACTGGAACGCTTACGAGTAGACTGGGTAGGATTTTCACGAATTGAGTGTTTCACTACATCGATGTTTTCTTCCGTCCGTGATGTCCTTGGTCGACCTGACCGTTGTTTATCCAACGTCGAACCACTCTCTTCGAACTTAATAACCCAGTTCTTAATCGTTTGAACACTTGGAATGTCTTTAAAGTTGCGTAAATTCTGATATTCTCGAAATTTACGCCGCGCAATGGTAGCCGAATCATTGTTTCGATAAAACTCGCGCACACAAAATGCACGGTCCGCACCGGTGAAACGCTCCATGGCGACTGAATTCCCAGAAACCGTCGGTACTCCCCCCGCACCGCGCGCGCCACTCATGCGCGCCTTTTGTATTTTATTCGAAATTTACATTTCTAACGACTTATGGGCCACCTTGTATTTAACATTTTAAGGTTGGCTTTACACTTGATCATCTAGATGTATCTTACGTATCGTATCGAATACTTGTATTTACTATTTCGTCCATATCTATCATATTAGAGTATCGGCATACCTTTTTTAATATTTTTATTTATTTATCTATACAGGGTTATTTTTCAAAGACCAGCCAAATTTAATAGTTAATTTCAAATATAAATATTATACACCTTTTGCAGATTTGAAACATACGCGTAATTAAGGTTTCTACTTTTATTTGAAAATATCCGAAATTGTATGTGATTTATGGGCAACAACGACGCGCGCTCGTGTGTGTACGTGTCAATGCACGGAGCTTTTACCTACTATTTACTTCCTTAATGATACGCTCGCTACCAAGTTGATAACTATGACGCGAATTATGATTCCAATTTTCCCTTCATACTTTAAACGGGCTTAGGACCGTCATAATAAATAAAATAAAAAAATACATTTCTTCTAAGACGGATAGATGGTATGCAAATAAAAAGTTCTGCACACCTCGTATTTTAAACAATATTTTTACTCCCACACAAAAGACAGTTCGAAATACAAGTTTAGACTACAGAGCGAGGGAAACAGGTGGAGAATAAATGTATACAATTAGTCGTAGAAAAGATAGTTGAGGCTAGCGCATGCCGGTAAAAACGAAGTCACCTGGACGGCTACGAAGGCAGTGTGCCGAGCATTGCCGACCTCAACCGACACGAACATCGCGTCGGCGCGTACGCTGTTCAATAAACATATTCCGAAACTGACAGATGATGTATGTTGTTTTATCACAGACGTTACCGATGACCAACTTTATTATGGCGTATTTAAAAAATTGGAATCAAGTATTTACAACTATTAACAATTTAAAACAAGTAACTATTTACAAAAACGAACTATTTACATCTTAAATATGCAGTCACTTAAACTAACTTACTGGTATTTTAATAGATGTTTCGAAATGAAGTCCTTTTCTCACAAGGCACAGTTGAGCATGTGCAAATTCTTTTTAACATTAATTACATTTGTCTGTCGTATAAAATAGTAGGCGCTTCATATTTATGAATGACAAGCAATTAAAATATTTTTTTTTCCATTTGCTTATGTTATCTATTCTGAACCTTCTCTGCAAAGGTTATTGCAAAATTACCATATATATCTATAATATCAAAATAACTGCCTTATATTAAGCTGAGTCTGTTATTTGCATGTCATGAAGTCATGAATAACCATTATTTAAATTTTAGTCGTCTGTCCGGAAATGGCTGAACCGATTGTAATGAAACTTCACAAACAGATTTAGAGCAATGCAAGGATCTAGGCTATATTTTATCTGAAAAACTTAGACATTGAAAAAAAAATGAAAAACTGATAAAATAAATGGTTTTTGACTGTTACAAATCTTAAATACGCCATATTAATAGATTCTACCCAAGCGAAGACGGGGCGGGTCGCAAGTAATTTAATAAAATAAACAAAAAAATCTTGTAAAAGGTTCGATTTAATATAGTATATAAATATAAATATGCACTTAACACACGCACTCACGCACGTACACACACACACGCACACGAGCGCGCGCACACACACACAAAGATTACTGATTACACAAAATAAAATTACTGTTATTTCTTAGATTTAAATTTTCACTTCTGTCGGCACCCAATTACAGCCAATTTTCTTTATCAAATCAATGGAAT